GGTGAATTCGGTTTCAGGTTGGTTTTGAGGCTTTACGGAGTATTGGGTTAGGGCGGCAGGGGAGATGGCTGAGGCGGCACACTTTTCTGCCACAAAAATGCCTAATGTGATATTTAAACCTTTATTTTAATGTTATGTTTTAGTGTTAATTCTGTATAAGTACCAAATGAGCGCAGAATGTAAAAAATCCACAAAGTTCTAAGATTTAGTTTAACAAAAGTATCTATCCGGGCGAATGCACTATTCGCCCGGGTAGCAAAGGGTGCATGTTCGTCGCAGTCCCGTCTGCTGCCTGGTCCGCGTGGATTTTTTTCTAGCAATTTATTTTTATATATAAATATAACGAATTTGATTTTTCTATTCTATTCACGTTTATAAACCTTAGCGTGTTTCAGCGCTGTATTTGTTCAAGTTTACGCGAGTAGGTACAAAGTTTGAGAAACTTCTATTATTCTATCTCTAGGGAAACTATAATGAAAGTTGGTTTTATGCAACCAGGAACAATAGTTTTAAAACTTAAGCCAATTACAACTTTCCTCTTTTCCATATTAGATAAAATACGAGCAAAATGGAAACAATTTAAAGGCATAATTTAAACATACTCCTACTGTATTTCTACCCCATTAACTGTTTCGGAAGAAGATATTCCCGGTTCCTGATCAATGATCTGGATAATATTATCGTCTTGGATCTGGAACATTGGATGCGACTGCTGCGAATTTGTATAATTTCAAGTTCTCGGCTCAATTTCCCTTTTGTGTCGCGGAGTTTTCTTCACCCAATTGAACTTTTATGTTTTCAACTAAAGGGTAACTGTAGTGAAATTATTACCTTCATTTCTTTAGAAATTATCTGTAAACATATAAGTATTAAAATGCCATAACTTAAGAAGGACTTTGCGATTTCATCCATCTTTCACTCAATGCCCTCATGGAAGCCAGTCATGGATGCGATAATGATTGAGAGGATACTAAGATTGTGTAATTTAAAAGTAAAAAGAAACAGCATAATATGTTTATCTTTAAAGGTTGACACACTATTACCTTTTTATGGTACCTAATTTTTTGTAATTGAAAGCTCGATGGCGCGGGTGGTTAGTGCGTTCGGCTGCGATCGTTGAAGCTAAGCAACTTTCGCAGTGGTCGGTCATTGGATGGGTGACCAAAAATTTTCTATCGCGTGTTCCTCCGTGCTTCGGAAAGCACGTTAAGCCATTATTCCTGGCTGCATCTGCAGTGGTTAGCAACGGCTAATCCGCACTGGGTCCGCGTGGTGGGTCATGGCCGAATCTCTCTATTCCATCCATAGGGAAAGCCTGTGTCCGAGCAGAGTGGACATTAATTGGCTGATGATGATGATGAGCTTACGTTGCGTGCGGTAAACAGTTAAAGTTACACAAAAATCATGTCTGAAGGAATTGTTCTCCTTAAAAAGAAAAAAAAAAACAGTACACACTATGTATAACCTTGTTGTACCTAATCTTTGTAAAATGTCATCCAAATCCGTTCAAAAGTTTCTGCGTGATTGAATAACAAAAAACAAACTTACAAACTTTAACGTCTTCTAGCGGCTGCCCGCGACTCCGACCGCGTTAACTTTGGATTTCTGAGAATCCCATAAGAACCTGTGCTATGTCTCAATCCAGGTCATACGCAATAAGTGTACCAAAGGACATGGTAAAGTTTTGTATGAGCGATTGCCCTGGCAATGTATAAATACTGTACTTAGTAACATTTAATGGTAAATAGTTGAATATTTATAATTTCTATGAAAGAAGGCTCAGGAACTTTTGACAAAGTCACAATCTTGAAAATTATGAGAACTCCTACTGTGTCATTACCTTACTACAGTTGATAAAAGATGTTGCCAATTATTTACAGAGTCGTCAATTTCGGATTTTCTTATAATCTTTCTTCCCATTTCTCTGATTAACTCTTCACAAAAAGTTTTTTTAGAGCAAAAATAAACACAAATATTTGTTATCGACGGCCTGATACAGCCTTGTCACAACCCTAATCAGAATAATAAAATTTATTATTTTAGGCCTTCAGTGATTTGTTTTAATAAAAATTAGGGCCAAATATGCCATAGTTCGAAGGAGTTTAGAATTAATATTGTTTATTTCGATATACTTATACAAATATTTTTTGTGTAGGTACATTTATTGTTCATTCATTTTGTAAAACATTTTGCTTTTTAAACAGACATGAAGTAAATTTTTATACTTTTAAATATTTGATTATTTCACGAAAGTTGTATGATAATAATTAACACATAATAATTAATAAAAAATATTGTAAAGTTATTTATACACGTTAAGGGCAGTTACTTAGCCATGTCCTTTCATTTAAATCCATTCAGTAGTTTTTGCGTGACCTGGTTACAAACAACAAACAAATTATAGTAGGATTACTAAGTACTTCAGCAGCAGTCATTATATCCGTCTCACACCCTTCGCTATCCGGGCGAATGCACTAACCATTATGCTACCGCGGCTCTGGGGGCCATTCGCCTAAAATGCTTTGGAAAACGCAAACGCTTACGATTTTATTTTGTTATTTCTAGCCGCGTGAGGTTTTCAAATGCCTCGCGCTTTCTTTTTCTTTTGAATTGGTAATAACAATATTTTAAAAAAATGAGCGTGAGGTATTTGAAAACCTCAGGCGGCTAGAAAGAACAAAATGAAATCGAAAGCGTTAGCGTTTTACAAAGCATTTCCGTTAGGCGAATGGCCCCCTGATGGCCGCGTACTTCTTAGGCTGCAAGGCAGCGCCATTCCTTGGCATTGTAGGTAACCCACAATATCAATTGAATACCTTAGATCCGTTCCACAGGCAACCTTAAACTTTACACAGAATTCGTATCTCTAGCGTGCAGGTAATAGTTTTAATCACTACATAGTATAAAACAAAGTCGCTTTCTCTGTCCCTATGTCCATTTGTATGCTTAAATCTTTGAAACTACGCAACGGATTTCGATGCGGTTTCTTTGAATAGATAGAGTGATTCAAGAGGAAGGTTTATATGTATAATACATGCATAATATAGTAGAGAAACACTGATAATTTTAGAGGTTTTTAATGTAAGGTCGTAAATAAACACATTTTTTTGCGATTACATTGCAAACGCTGGCTGAACCCAACGAGATAGATCAAAATAATGTACTACAGTATTGTACACCCTAAAAAGGTCTACAAAAAAGTCCGCGATGGTATATGCCTATCTCTTTGGTATAACCCACAATAACCATTTTTTAATTACTTATTACGAGAAAATAATGGCTTATTTACGAACAAGCGATTTTAAGTAATACAGCATTAATTCTTATCCAATTAAGTACCTTAAATACATTGTGCGTGTAATATAGATCAATATAACCCTCTACAGCATGTATTTTAAATGAATATTTTCGAAGATATTACAGATTTAAAATGCAGGAACATACCGGTTTGGGCAGTACTGGCCGGGGGGCCGGCGGCGGCGCGTGTCTTTAGTAATTAGGTATTTAAAGAAAGTCATTGTGTTTAATAGAAGCTTGAGAACAAAAATATAGTCTAAACTACAGCTCTACACCGAAGCGAAGCGAGGGCGGGCCACTAGTGTTATATATGAGAAAACTGGCATTGATTTGTTTTACACTATCGTTTCATCACCGAGGCGGGTATTAAGCAGTGCATTTTTGACGAACAGGCAATTGTACAATGTTCTTTTTTGTAATTATCATGTGAAAAGTGTGATTAATTATATTGTATTGTGTTTTTATTGGTGAAGACCTGTAATTGGCATTTTGTTGGTATATAAGTTTTTACGAGGAGCTCGATGGCGCAGGTGGCTAGCGCGTTCGGCTGCGATCGTTGAAGTTAAGCAACTTTCGCAGTGGTCGGTCATTGGATTGGTGACCAAAAATTTACTATCTCGAGCTCCTCCGTGCTTCGGAAGGCACGTTAAGCCGTTGGTCCCGGCTGCATTTGCAGTCGTGAGCACCCACCAATCCGCACTGGGACCGCGTGGTGGGTCATGGCCCAATCTCCCTATTCCATCCATAGGGAAGGCCTGTGCCCCAGCAGTGGGGACATTAATAGGCTGATGATGATGATGATGATAAGTTTTTATTATATTTTATTAAAAGTTAGTTTTCCAAAAAAAAAAATACCTTAACAAGTATTAAACGTTTGAAAGAAGAAATAGCAAATAAAAGAGATTTTTTTATTTTTTTAAGCGACTACATCTAAAGAAAATATAACTAGAAAAAATTCAACGCGGACCAGGCAGCAGACGGGACTCGAATCCACACCCTTCGCAATCCGGGACATTGTGGGTTGCCTATAATGCGAAGAGATGGCGCTGCCTTGCCGCTGCGTCGAAATTCTTTCGACGAGGTCCGTGAGGGCCGCGGTAGCATAATTGGTCAGTGCATTCGCCCGGATTGCGAAGGGACGTACTATTCGTAAGTGGAATTCTATGCCCGCGCACGTGTTCCCTCCTTCCTATAATCTGGGGTCCTTTAAGAGAGGCGTGAAGAAGCATTTTTGCGGTCCGGCAAGGTGAGGATGGTTGGTGTGGCAGTTTATAACTGCTGTACAAGCTATCTTCGCGTTTGGACTTTATCACCACTTAACATCAGGTGGGGTAGAGTCATTTGCCTACCTAATCATATAAAAAAAGAGAAGGGTGCGGGTTCGAGTCCCGTCTGCTGCCTGGTCCGCGTTGAATTTTTTCTAGTTATATTTTCTTTAGATTTAAACATCAAGCAGTTACATGCTTTAAAATTAATAATAATAATAACTACATAAATTTTAACTGGAGCTATCCAGAGCTATCTAAATCATTTAAATCTCACTAAATCTTAGGTAGAGCAACGCCGTCCCTGTCGCTCTATGCTGTAGGTATAGTTTCAAGAACAAATGTAGCTGCTACAACATTAATTTTCTCAGTTTTCATGGAAATCACAAGTGACCATAGCGGATTGCAAGCGACCAGCAGCTGTAGGCTTCCGCCGCGCGCCGCGCGCCAGTCGTGTGTTGTCCGCCGGCCGCGCTGTGTGCCGCCCGTACGCTAACCGCTCGCTCGCGCAACTTCGCTCGTATCGCTCGTGTCGCTCGTGTTGCTCGCCCGCGCCAACAGTGCAGTGCTCAAGTGTCTGTGAAGTGCGTCTTACTGTTCCCAAGATCTGACGGTGAGCGATTTTTTTTGCTTTTGACTTTTTGAGTGCATTTTCTGAGTTTTCATTTTTTTACATACATAATATTAGCGCAATTCTAATTAGTTCTTGTATTGTGATTTTTGTTTCTGTGTATGTTAAAGCAATGAGCTAGATTTTAGTGCGATATACTGACTTTGAAAACGAGATCCGAATCAACATTTCCAATATTTTCAAACTCCTTTTTAAAATTATTTGTGAGTAATTAAGAAAAATCAGTAACTTAAAATTAATTAGTTGGATATGAAATTTCCTCTGATATCCTACTTCAGATAGACACGACAAATTAAACGGATGATTTATATAAAAAAAAATCCATTCGCTAGAAAAATTAATCAACTCACTTTTTTCAAAACCTCAATGAAAAGGTTGATACAATACTAAGATACTTTGTATACTTATGAGATCAAACGCGAGTCTTTACTGACAATAGCACAAACGCGACGGGTGTGACACGCTGCGTTCAAACTTTCACTGAATAAATATATTTCAACCGCATAAAAAGCTCCTTTGAAATTTGCCCACCTGGCTCTGAGGGAAATATAGGTAGAACCGTAGAGATTCCCCCAAAGGGAAATTTACATACGCACGCCCCTGCAATAAGCCTTCATCGCGCCACCATCATTACACTACGACTGTACCCTCGTCGAAATCATAGATTCGTATGCCCTTCACGTCTGTACTTAGTAATAATATTCATCTAAAGAACGAAAAATACGAAAAAAAATCGCCCTCAGTCCATTTTCCAGGACGATCCCAGCAAAACTTGTATAGGTAACGGCAGAAAATGTAAATTAAATAATTTTGTTTCAAAGCATTAACCTGTCCGTCGAACGTTCGCGGAATATGAATGAAATTTTCGTACAAAATGGCTTTTAAATAATTTTGAACCGATTTGAATAACGTATTTTGTACTTTTTCGACACTGCTCAAATTTACGCAATCATGTTATGAGTATGTCGTCAACATAATAGAACACGCTGTGACAATAATAATAAAAAATATTTCCAACACACTCCAATTAGCCTAGCCCCAAAGTAAGCACAGTAAGGCTTGTGTTATGGGATACATATATAAGTATATTTATATAGAAATACATAATTACCATCCATGACTGGAGTACAAATGTTCTTATTTATCACACAAACATCTGCCCCCACCGGGATGCGAAAAAGGACCTCTCGAGTCGGCGACACCGTGAAACCCGGCGTACAAACCCCTCGGCCACCGGAGGTCGTGCTTGTGCCTTGGCCATGGAACTTAAATCATCCATGTATTCGCGACTGGACTCCACTTACACTTAACTCAGGTGGGGTGGGGTAATTCGTTGCGTCTCGTATGAAAAAAAAACTTAATGTAATAATTTTCCTCGAGGTCATGGGTGCTTCCCATCCGTCACTCAGACTAAAGTAATCACTTGATCAATATTATTAGTTTTATGGGTAGAAAAAAATATGGGACAAACAGCAATCAATTTAATGATCCTCTGAAAAAGTTTGATGTAAAGAAAAGTTTACTAGAAAAAAAAATGTGGATTACCTACAATGCGAAGAGATGGCGCTGCCTTGCAGCTTAAGGCTAGGAAAATTTCGACGCGGCGAAAAGGGCCGTGGTAGCATAATGGTCAGTGCATTCGCCCGGATGGCGAAGGGTGCAGTTTCGAGTCCCGTCCGCTACCTGGTCCGCGTGGATTTTTTTCTAGTAAACTTTTCTTTAGATTTAAACATCTAGCAGTTAAATGCTTAAAAATAAATGAAAACATAAGTTTGATGTAGGTAGTACCGATTTTTATTAATTGTTAAAAAAAAAATATGGGCCTCACAAGCAGAGTTGCACAACGAGAGATGAAGAGAACAGGAACGAAGTTATCAGTTACCCTTAGTACGAGATTTACAATTACGAAAACTATGATAGTTTTCGTGAGCTCAAACTCGTACTAAGGGTACTGATTTTATTGTTTGCGTTTCAATACAAATAAACAGTGTTCAAATTCTATCATTAAATCATTTGCGTCTTCTTAAATTTTAAGTATATTTGATTACTTTTCAGAAAATGGACATAGAAACATAATAGCTATTAACGGGATTGTTACCATGTACCTTGTTTTGTGCACCATGTACCATGTACCTGTTGCAAGCGCCATGATCACGGAGTAACAATCATGGCGCTTGCAACAGTGCCGAAATATCGGAGACTCATAAAAAACAAGGTACATGGTAACAATCTCGTTAATAGCTATAATGTTAGTGACCATGAAAGTTTAAAACAATATATACAAACATAATTTACAATTACGAAAACTATGATAGTTTTCGTGAGCTCAAACTCGTACTAAGGGTACTGTAGAAGAACTAGAATAACCGATATAGTTTAACGGATCGCGAAGCTGAAGTGGCAATGGACGGGGCATATAGTTCGACCAACTGATGGACGTTGGGGTCCCAAGGGGCTTCAATGGCGACTTCGCACCGGGAATCGCAGTGTCGGGAGTCCCCTTACCAGGGGGCGATTTGCTTAACGGAAATGCTTTGGAAAACGCTAATGCTTTCGATTTTATTTTGTTATAGGCATCACTAGGCGCTGGCTGAAAATCAGCGCTGCTGTGGTATTGCGAAAGTACTACCACAGTAGCATAGCTGAGACAGCGACCTGTTGGCCCTGCACAACAGCACCTGAATTTAGTTTTCTTGTTTTTATATGTGTTGTTATTCTTTTTGACGTGACAACGTCTTAAATTAGGTTGCGGCTGGGAGTCACTTATGAAAAAGTGTAACGCTCGGTAACGTTACGATGAGTCTCTCGTGTTAAGTTTAAGTTTACATGTACAATGTTTTAGTAAACAAAATATATTTCTATAGTTAAAATTTGTGCAATTCTTATTTTCATTCAATTCCTTGTTCCTATTGTGCAATTTAATTATATTCATATCAATAAATATTCTACCGAGAAAAAGACGTTGTCACGTAAAATCTTCGCCCGTAAAACCGACTTTACAGGCAACCATTTTTTTTATTTTTATATTTTCTGTTTTGTTTTAATGTACCTACAAAATGCAGTGTAACCAATAAATGATTTTCTTCTTTTCTTTTCTTTCTTATTTCTGACTGCCGAAAGTTTTCAAATACCTTACGCTCATTTTTTAAATGTTGTTATTACCAATGCAAAAGAAAAAACAAGTGCGCGAGGCATTTGAAAACCTCAGACGGCTAGAAATAACAAAATGAAATCGTAAGCGTTAGCGTTTTCCAAAACATTTCCGTTAGGCGAATGGCCTCCTGGTGGACTGAAGACATCAAGTGATATGAGGGGGGTCACTGGACGTGGAAAGCGCACGACGTTGTGTAAGGAAAAGACTTTACTATCTCGAGCTCCTCCGTATTTCGTAAGGCAGGTTAATCCGTAGGTTCCGGCTGCATTTGCCTTCGTTAGCACCCACCGACCCGTACTGGTCTCGCGTGGTGGATCATGGCTCAATCTCCCAATAGGGGTGATGACGGGGTACAGTAAACGAAATTCTATTCAGTCCGTCAGTTAGATGATCAAAAAATAATGGACACGTATTTTTTCTTTGGGCAATCAACCAAAAAATGACAAAGTTATAGCGCGTCAAAGTTTGGGAGTAGGGGCTCGTGACGTCACTTTTGAGTGAATTTTCGCTTATAAGTGTACTCAAACGTGACGTCATGCGACTTTTCAAATCAATATAACTCTGCAATTTTTTATATTATGTGAAAAAAGAAAAAATACGTGTCCAATACTTTTTGATAATCTACCTGATAAACGAAGAAAAAAAAATTTAGTCGTCATCCCTATTTTAACCATAAGAGGACCCCTAGCACTGGGGATTTTAATAGGCTGATGATAATGATGAATATAATGTTAGTGTTAGATTAAAAAATATATAAAAACAATAGTTAATTGACGTCCCTAAGTAGTATTGTCGAGTTACGAAAATAAACCCAACTTTTATGAAGAATATTGTGATGGGAGAGAAAAGCTTTTTCAAGTGTTTCAATGAAATTTAAAGTTGCAAAAATCCAATACTCACTTTCGCTTCCGAAATAATTCTCTTATATGCCTAATAATAACTTGGGCGTGTTCTAGACAAGATTAAATAGGAAAAGAGCAAGAAAGACTTTTTGTTATTAGTCATAAACACATATTTACATAAATAAATAAATAAAATAAAAAAAAATCCAACACACCAATTAGCCTAGCCCCAAGCTAAGCACTATAATGCTTGTGTTATGCACAACTATATTATCATTTTCACTACATGCAAATGTGCTAAAACAATTATTATAGTTGGTAGGCGACATCATAAAGTCTATTAGCATACATTTTTCGCCAAACACCTCCATAAACACATTGTAAGGTGTGATATACTAAAAATCTAAAATATGATTATAACAGAAACACAACAAAAATAATGAAGCTACTGAAGATATATATGGCTGGTATAGTCTAAAACTCTTAGCTTTCTTTGGTTAACGAGAGTTTAAGAATTCTCTCTAATCTGTGGCTCATTCATAATCATGACACAATTTCTGTCACAGAGTACCTTATTATAACCGGAAATGCATAGATGATACCTGATTTTAAAAGTTACTCTTGTGCACTAACTTAATTACTTATGCATAAACTATCTGTTAATCTTCATGCTCTATACCTGAATCTAATACATAATTTCGGTACTTGGCTTGATTTCCCTAGTTTTCTAAATAACTTTTTTGTTTTTTATTATTTTAATACCTATGTACCTATTTGCAAACATAACCTCGAAATCATTCAGTGTATATGATTTATAGAAGTTCTCAGGGGTGTCCGTCAGTAATATTCGTTTCTACAGTAATATAAATATAATTTCGAATGTAAGGAACAATTTTTCATGATTATTGGTCTTTAGGCCAAACATGTATGGAAACTGAGCAATCTCCTTTGATCGGCGCGTAGGTAGATTTGCACTAGTATATATT